GGTTTCAAGTGTCTGTTCGAGCACAGTCCTTAATAGTATTTTCAACTGTTTAGAACTCCCCTCCGGGTTTTCCGATCACAAGTGTATGTTCGAGAACACTTGCTCCGTTAGTTCTTCTCCTTGCTTCTTCTATCTTGGAATCAAGATGTATACACAAAGTATTGTTTCAAGTAAAAGTTTGGAATTATTCAATAGAATGAATAAAGTAGTAAGCCTAGGATGATGATCATGGCTCAAGAGCTGGCTCTTCATAAGAACTTGAAGTCCCTATATTTAAAATAGAAAAGTGATCATTTACAAGCATCACGCCATGCCATTGAATGCATATATTAACACAAAAAGGTTGAACATCAATGGCTAATAAACTCTCAGCTACCTTTGTTTACATTCAAAATCGGATAACAATTGAATTTATACGCGATTTTAAAGATAGACGATATAATTTGACACAATTGAGAAAACAATTTAATATTAAACTCAATGACAGAAAAATGAATGCAAACCATACAAGTTGAACAATGTTAGTCTTGAAGGTTGGTCACCCTTGAGTCAGAAAGTGCCTCAATCAATGTCAGAACAGAATAACAAGATAATGAGAACCAGAAATAACAGTGTATTGCCTTTTGATGCGTGTTACAATGTGTCTCACAAATGATCAGACCCCCTTTTATATAGTAGGGGAGTCCTAGTCTAGATACAATTCTATAAAAGGTAGAAAACCTCATAATTTGCTAACTAATAGGCCTCTCCTTGATACGTGTCGAGATTTCTGCCGTGATATCCGACCGATTGCGGATATTTTAGCCTTCTACTATTTGGCCCGATATCTATATTCTCCAAAATCAATTCTCTGATTACTTCTGCAATCACTTCATAAGAACTTCTACTCTTTACCTTATCAAAACACATCCTTTTAACTTCCTCTTTTCTCTTAGCTTCCCTAAAAATGGCAAAGACCTCAAAGTCCGTTCCCCAAAAAGAAGTTCCCTCTGCTTCGCGACCGGCTGAAAAGGAAAACGTTCCATCTGCTGATATTGAGGAAAAGATACCGGAGTCTTCTTTGACTATGTTCGTTCCTGGGGGGCGCCCAATTGGTGCCGACTTCAAAGTCGAAAAAACCTCTTCCGTACCAGGTCGGTGCGAGCCGTTCTCAAGATATATGTGCTCGATCACCGACAACTTCCTCTCCAAGGTCAAGGAAGAATGCAATTGGGCCGGTAAGCACGTGGGGGTGCCTATGCACAAGGAATCGATTACTACCCACGTGGAGGATTTTTTAAGTGTTTACACTTATCCTTTCACGTTGGGCCCTTTGGACTCGCTCATCGTCGCCTTCTCTAAGAGGTACGAGGTGACCCTTGGTCAAATTCACCCCTCATTCTGGAGGATAGTAATTCTCCTCCGCTTCTTTCTAAGTAAAATCGACAAGTGTCCTTTCACCATCGACCACCTCATGCGTCTTTATAGTCCCCGACTCTATCGAGGGGGATTAACAATGCTTGCGTGTCGAGCCTCTAAGGCCCCTTTCTCGAGTATAGACGAGGATCAAGACCGAGGTTGGTTGGGTCGATTTGTTCGAGTGAAGACCTCATATTTAATCCCCATTGAGGATATGCCATTTCCCGAGAAATGAAACATGAAACGTAAGTATAACTTTGCCTTTAAAATTTTGTTTACTGCTTTTCTTTTTTCATTCTTATAGATGTTTCGTGGTGCAACCGTTGATACCGGATGCAGTTCCCCGACTCAAGGTGTGGGTCGAGGGCATTGTATCACAGAAGCCCTATTCCGAGCGTGCGTGGCGCGAACTTTCAAAGGGTCGGTGGGAGAGCCGTTCTCACGGTAAGATTCATTCCTAGAACAGACATCACTTGGGTTTCTTTTCAAGCTTACTCATCTCTTGTCCTTTATAGGCCTTGGGAAGGATGTTGGAATGAGGCCGCTGTCCGGAGATGAAGACGTCCTCCCCCAATCACCTGCTCCAAAGTAGACTAGAGAGAAGAAAAGGGGTTCCGAGTTCCCCGAACTCGGAGAAGCAGAAACATAAAGAGGTAGGTGCATCGTCGTTCTCCCATCGAACCTAGTCCACGGGCTGAGGGACGTCCGAAGAAGAAGAAAATTTTGAGCTGGTGGCTCGGGTGCGAGTCAATACTGCATTGCCTCGATCCATGAAAGCTGCTAAGGGGGCAGTGAACAGGGTCTCTGAATCAGAGAGGGGGGACGCCTCTTTGCCCCAAACTAGGGAGGCCGAGAAGGAGACCATGGCGGCACTATTAGGGCAAAGGAAAATGTCCCGAAAGATGCGCTTGGGGTGTTGTCTTCTATCTTGGAGTCAAGATGTTTACACAAAGTATTGTTTCAAGTAAAAGTTTGTAATTATTCAATAGAATGAATAAAGTGGTAAGCCTAGGATGATGATCATGGCTCAAGAGCTGGCTCTTCATAAGAACTTGAAGTCCCTATATTTAAAATAGAAAAGTGATCATTTACAAGCATCACGCCATGCCATTGAATGCATATATTAACACAAAAAGGTTGAACATCAATGGCTAATTAACTTTCAGCTACCTTTGTTTACACTCAAAATCGGATAACAATTGAACTTATACGCGGTTTTAAGGATAGACAATATAATTTGACACAATTGAGAAAATAATTTAATATTAAACTCAATGACAGAAAAATGAATGCAAACCACACAAGTTGAACAGTGTTAGCCTTGAAAGTTGGTCACCCTCGAGTCAGAAAGTGTCTCAATCAATGTCAGAACAGAATAACAAGATAATGAGAACTAGAAATAACAGTGTATTGCTTTTTGATGTGTGTTACAATGTGTCTTACAAATGATCAGACCCCCTTTTATATAGTAGGGGAGTCCTAGTCTAGATACAATTCTATAAAAGGTAGAAAACCTCATAATTTGCTAACTAATCGGCCTCCCCTTGATACGTGCCGAGATTCTGCCGTGATATCTGACCGATTGCAGATATTTTGGCCTTCCATTATTTGGCCCGATTTCTATATTCTCCAACATCAATTCTCTGATTACTTCTACGATCACTTCATAAGAACTTTACTTTTTACCTCATCAAAACACATCCTTTTAACTTCTTCTTTTCTCTTAGCTTCCCTAAAAATGGCAAAGACCTCAAAGTCAATTCCCCAAAAAGAAGTTCACTCTACTTCGCGACTGGCTGAAAAGGAAAACGTTCCATCTGCTGCTATTGAGGAAAAGATACCAGAGTCTTCTTTGACTATGTTCGTTCCTGGGGGGAGCCCAACTGGTGCCGACTTCAAATTCGAAAAAACCTCTTCCGTACCGGGTCGGTGCAAGCCGGTCTCGAGATATATATGCTCGATCACTGACAACCTCCTCTCCAAAGTCAAGGAAGAATGCAATTGGGCTGGTAAGCATGTGGTGGTGCCTATGCACGAGGCGTGGAGTTTTTTTTAAGTGTTTACACTTATCCCTTCACGTTGGGCCCTTTGGACCCGGTCGTCATCGCCTTCTGTAAGAGGTACGATGTGACCTTTGGTCAAATTCACCCCTCCTTCTGGAGGATAGTAATTCTCTTCCGCTTCTTTGTAAGTAAAATCGACAAGTGTCCTTTCACCATCGACCACCTCATGCGTCTTTATAGTCCCCAACTTTATCGAAGGGTAATAACAAATCTTGCCCGTCGAGCCTCTAAGGCCCCTTTCTCGATTATAGACGAGGATCGAGACCGAGGTTGGTCGGGTCGATTTGTTAGAGTGAAGACCTCAGATTTAATCCTCATTGAGGATATGCCATTTCCCGAGAAATGAAACATGAAATGTAAGTATAACTTTGCCTTTAAAATTTCGTTTACTACTTTTCTTTTTTCCTTCTTATCGATGTTTTGTGGTGCAACCGTTGCTCGGATGCCGGATGCAGTTCCCCAACTCAAGGTGTGGGTCGAGGGCATTGTATCACAGAAACCCTATTCCGAGCACGCGTGGCGCAAACCTTCAAAGGGTCGGTGGGAGAGCCATTCTTACGGTAAGATTCTTTCCTAGAACAGACATCACCTGGGTTTCTTTTCAAGCTTACTCATCTCTTTTCCTTTATAGGCCTTGGAAAGGATGTTGGAATGAGGCCGCCGTCCGGAGATGAAGACGTCCTCCCCCAATCACCTGCTCCAAAGTAGACTAGAGAGAAGAAAAGAAAAGGGGCTCCGAGTTCCCCGAACTCGGAAAGCAAAAACATAAAAAGAGGTAGGTGCACAAACCCAAGGAAAGCATCGTCGCTCTCCCATCGAACCTAGTCCACGGGCTGAGGGATAAGTCCGAAGAAGAAGAAAATTTTGAGCTGGCGGCTCGGGTGTGAGTCAATACCGCGTTGTCTCGAGCCATGAAGGCTGCTGAGGGGGCAGTGAACGGGGTCTCTGAATCGGAGAGGGGGGAGGCCGCCTTGCCCCAAACTAGGGAGGTCGAGAAGGAGACCATGGCCGGCACTATTCGGGCAAAGGAAAATGTCCCGAAAGATGCGCTTGGGTTGTTGATAATTCCGGGTCCTCTTTATTCTCCGACTCTATGATCAATGAGGCCGACATGCTAAAAGAGTGTTCACCGAGTTTGATGACTTACCGGTGCCAAAAAAAGCACCACCTTCAGGTACCAGCGGGTCTTCTTTGAGTCCAAAGTTAGTGGATCGGTTCCCGGCTCCAAGTGTTGATCCTGACCGAAATCAGTCAATAATTATCTCTATCCCGGAGGACGCTCGGGATCTCTCCGCCCCCGTGGGGTTGCTAGCTATCTTTAGTGCTTGGTGACCAAAGAGGACCAGGCCAAGATGGACGAGGTGGAGGCGCCCTGCCTGTTCAATGAAGCTCAATAGGCGTTGAATCAGGTAACTTCGAGTGCTTTATTACGTGCTTTAGATTTTCAGTTGCAAACAATTGTAACACTTTTCTTTATGCTTGCAGGCATCGGTACTTCACAATGAAACTTTGCTCCGATATTGGGAGGAGTTAACCCAACACGAGGTCGAGATTCGGGATCTTACTAAGAAGAGGGATATCTATAAGCTTCTCAGTGAGAAACTCCAGGCCAAGCTAGAAGCGGCTCGGAAGGAACATGTCAAATGGGTTGAGCAGGTAAGACGAGTACTTGAAGATAGTGATGATGATTTGGACACAGTGGCTAACAGTCCGAATCTGCAGGTCCAAAAGAGACTTGAACAGATCGGGTAGCTCCATGCGGAGGTGAATATAGTAAAAGCTAAGGCCGAAGAACGGAAGAAAAACATGGACCTCCTAGCTTCGGAAAAAGGAGACTATCCAGGCACAACTGGCGTCGACTGAGGCCCAGCTCCGACCTATAGAGAAGAAGGCCTCGACCCAGGCTAAAACAATCGAGAAGATCCGGTATCAGCTGAGCTCGCCGGTCTCTAGCCAAGAAAATCTGGCCAAGGAACTTGAGGCAGCCAGGTTAGAGATTGCTGAGGTCAAGGCCGAAGCTGATGAGAAGGTGGCCCAGCTAAAGCCGATGCCAAGGCAGCTCAGGATCAAGTGAAATATTTGGTGGAGCACATGAAGAGGCAATCTCGAAGGGAGGCCCTTGAAGAAGTTCAAGCTTATGGCTTTGACCAGCTGGCTGAGATCGAGAATGCCAAAATATCTGAGGCCAAGGCCAGGAGCTGGCTTATCCCGAGGAAGAGGATTTTGAGGGGTATGAAGACTCGGATGAGCCCAAAGGTGGTGAAGACCTCGAAGGCGACGCGATCCCCGATAAAGATTAGGCCACTTAGGATTTTTTAGACATTTTGTCTTTTATTTTTTGAGGTGTTTTGGACGTTGTAGATTTCTGTATCGGCGCCATTTGGCCTTTGTAAAAAGAGTTTTGGATAAATATATATAAGGCTTTCTTTCCCTTTCAGTTTCGAAATTTTCCTTTGTTTTATTATTTGTGTTCACAAAGATCGAAATGCCTTAGCATGAAATAACTTAGGTTATGTTCGAAGGTTCAAACAAATTTCGCCTTTACATAATCCCGCTTTAAGGCGTCTTGGGGGTTCGGTGTTACCAGAAACTTTCTCCCAAAGTAAGTAATTCAGATTATGGTTTGCCGAGGGTAGCCTTTAGAGTCGGTTATGAAAATATTTCTTTTTTGAAGGCCTAATTTTTGTTACGGGTCTCGGACGTCTCCGAGCCGTGTCAATATGGCCATAGCCTTTTATTTCGGAAGTCCTCCAGTGGACTTTCTTTCCCGAGTTATCCGAGCTTGCCCAAGATAACAATCCCCAAGCGGGGATGGCCGTGGCCTTTAAAATTCGGGGATTGTCGAATAGGTCTTATGCCCCCGAGGACTAATAGCTTGGACCGTGCAAGTTTGTTTTCGAACGGCAATCCACGAGTGAGAGAATGATTGTTCGATCTGAGGTTAAGGTGGCCCTTAGGCTCGTTACCTTTAGGGGATCGGAAGCAGGGAATTCCTTAAGAAATGTAAATAAGAATTTTTTAAAAAACAAGATGATTGCAAGATGATACTTCTCTTTATTCTTGTGTAAAACAGTTATACATGCTTTATCCTAGGGCTTGAGCAATCTATGCGGGCACGGTTCGTTTGACTATTTGGCCCTTACAATAAATCCTACCTATCGAAACCCTTCCATCACGAAGTATAAAAACCTTGCCGAAAAACCATTTGGGACAAAATTGGTTCAAGGGAAAAAGAGTGCAACGCATGCTTTCAGACCTAATACTTTGTACGGCTCCTTGTTGGTCACCTGCAAGTGTTAGTTCGAAATATAAATAAAAGAAAATGAACGGAGTCGTACCTTAGCAGCAATATCATTTTAGATGAGTTACATTCCAATTGCTCGGTAGTCGTTCACCGTCCATCGTTCCGAGCTTATAGGATCCTTTCCCTGTGACCTCGAGAATTTGGTACGGTCCTTCTCAGTTCGAACCCAACTTCCATTTGTTCGGATTTCGGGTGTTCAGTGTGACCTTCCTTAGTACTAAGTCCCCAATATTGAAGTATAAAAGGTTGGTCCTTCGATGTAATACCTCTTGATCCGCTGTTTTTGGGCGGCCAACCAAAGTAGTGCTGCTTCGCACCTTTCGTCTAATAACTCCGCGCCTGTACTCATGGCCTTGTCATTCGATTCCTTTGTTGCATATCGGAATCTGACACTTGGTTCACCGACTTCGACCGGTATCAAACCTTCAGTGCTGTAAACCAATAAGAACGGGGTGGCCCGATACTAGACTTTGAGGTCGTGCGGTGTGCCTATAGAACTTTGGGTAAGATTTCCTTCCATTTTCCTTTGGCGTCCGTTATCCTTTTTTAGAGGTTTAGGAGTATGGTTTTGTTGGTCGATTCGGCTTGTCCATTCCCACTAGGGTGATAAAGTGTTGATATGATAAGGTGTTGATAAGATTATTTTGATCGTATGATCTCCGAGAAACTTGGTCATTTTGTTGCCGATAAATTGTTTCCCGTTTTCTCACACGATTTCGGATGGCATTCCGAACCGAAATATGATGTGGTTCCAAATGAAGTCAATGACATCCTTATCCTTGACCTTCTCGTACGGCTGTGCTTCAACCCACTTAGAAAAATAGTCAGTCATAAATAAGTTAAATTGAGCCTTACCCAACCGGCGCCCATGGAAGAGGGCCAACGATGTCCATTCCCACTTCATGAATGGCCATGGTGACAAGACCGAATGCAGCAAATCTCCGGATTGGTAAATCATCAGAGCATGCATTTGGCATTCGTCAAATTTTCGTACGAACTCGTGCGCATATTTTTCCATGTCAATCCAGTAATAGCCGGCTTTGATTACCTTTTGAACCAATGATTCGGTGCATGAATGATTTCCGTAGGTGCCCTCGTGGACTTCCCTCAGAACGTACTCGGTATCTCCCGATCCATACATATTGCTAGCGGGCTATCGAACATTCTTCTAAACAAGGTTCCATCCTCGGACAAGCTAAATCGGGCTGCCTTTGTGCGTAGGGCCCTCGATCCTTTGGATATGAGGGTAGTTTCTCGGTCTTCAAATACTCTACGTATTTATTTCTCCAATACCAAGTTAGGCCCGTGGAGTTTATTTCGGCGCGACCTTCTTCTACTATCGATCTCATGAGCTTTACCACTGACCCCGAGTTGAACTCGTCGTCTTCGACCGACGACCCTAAGTTTGCAAGGGCATCAGCCTCGCTATTTTGATCTCGAGGTACGTGCTACAAGTCCATTGTTTGAACCGATGTAATGTCACCTGCAACTTATCTAGGTACCTTTGCATTCGTTCTTCTCTGACTTCGAACGTTCCATTAACTTGGTTCACAACAAGGAGGGAGTCACACTTAGCTTCGATCGCCTCCGCCCCTAAGCTTTTGCCAGTTCAAGAACCACAATCATGGCCTCATATTCGGCCTCGTTGTTAGTCAATTTCAACGTTCTAATGGATTGTCTAACTACATTGCCTGTGGGGGGCTTCAATACGATGCCAAGTCCGGACCCCTTTATGTTCGAGGCACCGTCTGTAAAGAGGGTCCAGATTCCCGAAGACTTCCCTGAGTTTACCAACAACTCTCGCTCGATCTCGGGTATTTGGTCCGGTGTAAAGTCGTCCACGAAATCTGCCAAACTTTGAGACTTAATGGCTGTTCGAGGTCGATACTCAATATCGTACCCGTTGATTTCTACGGCCCATTTGGCCAATCGTCCCGAGAGTTTGGGTTTATGCATTATATTTCGCAATGGATAAGTTGTCACAACACATATAGGATGGCACTAAAAATACGGTTTCAGTTTCCTAGAGGCGCTTACTAGCAAAACGAGCGCCAATTTTTCTAGGTGAGGACATCTAGTTTCGGCCTCACCTAAGGTCTGCTAACATAATAAATTGGACATTGTGTACCTTGTTCTCCCCGAACTAGGACTCCACTTACTGCTATCTCCGACACTGCCAAATAAAAGTATAGTTGTTCGTGTGCCCTTAACGTGTGAAGCAGTGGTGGGTTCGATAGATATCGCTTAAGTTCTTCCAAGGCCCATTAGCATTCCGGGGTCCATGTGAAGATGTTTTTCTTCTTCAGTAATGATAAAAAATCGGTGGCTCTTATCAGAGGACCTCGAGATGAATCGCCCCAGGGCGACGATGCGCCCGGTTAGCCTTTGCACGGCCTTCACGTTGTCCACTACAATGATATCCTCGATAACTTTGATCTTGTCGGGGTTGATCTCGATTCCTCGGTCGGATACCATAAACTCGAGAAATTTACCTGATCCGACTCCAAACGCACATTTTTTTTCGGATTTAGCTTCATGTCGTACTTCTTCAATATACTGAAGGTTTCCTGCAAATGCTTTAAATGGTCCTCTGCTCGCAGGGACATAACTAACATATCGTCAATCTAAACTTCCATGGATTTTCCTATCTGTTCTTCGAACATCCGGTTTACTAGGCGTTGGTAAGTGGCACTGGCATTTTTAAATCCAAATGGCATTATGTTATAGCAGTAATTGCCATACTTAGTGATGAAGGTCTTTTCCTAATCATCCGGGTTTATTCGTATTTGGTTGTACCTGGAGTAGGCATCGAGAAAATTGAGGATCTCGTGGCTGGCGTGGCATCAATCATGCGATCGATGTTAGGCAAATGTAAAGAGTCCTTAGGACATGCCTTATTTAAATCTTTATAATCTACACACATTTTCAATTTGTTCCCTTTTTAGGGACTACTACTACGTTTGCTAACCATTCTGGCTATTTGACTTCCTGAATGGACCCTATTTTAAGGAGTTTAGTTACCTCATCCTTGATAAAAACATGTTTGATCTCAGACTGGGGTCTCCTATTTTGCTTGACCGGATGGAATTTCGGGTCTAGGCTCAACTTGTGATGGTGATCTCTGGTGGGATCCATGAATGTCAAGATGGGACTAAGCAAAACAATCTATGTTAGCTATGAGAAATTGAATGTGTTTTTTCCTGAGCTCGGAGGTTAACCCCGTGCCAAGGTATACCTTCCGATTGGGTAGACACTCGATCAATGTGACTTGCTCCAGCTCTTCGATTGTTGATTTTGGAGCATCGGAATCATCAGGTACTATAAAAGATCTAGGAACCCCGTAATCATCATCTTCGTCGGTCCCCTATTTATCCGATTGGGTCGTGGCTGGTGTCGATAATTGTTATTTAGTTTCCTGCTTTATGTTCGAACTTGGTTCCTTCGATATTGTTAGTGTTGATACCAGAATCACTCCTTCGACTACAAACATTTTCTTTGTGGCCGGGTGCTCCCCGTAGATTATTTTAATCCCTCCTGACATTGTGAATTTTAGCACCCAGTGAAGGGTCGAGGGTACTGCCCTCATATTGCGAATCCATGGTATCCCGAACATGGCGTTGTACCTCATATCTTATTCGATCACATAAAACTTGGTTTCCTGGACAGTCCCGACTGCGTTTACTGGTAATGTTATTTCTCCCTTAGTAGTTTCACAAGCTATGTTAAATCCGATTAGCACTTGGGCCGCAAGCACGATTTGGTCTTGTAGGCCGAGTTTTTCTACGAGCCTTGATCGAATGATATTGGCCGAGCTACCTGGATCAATCAACACACGTTTAAATCGAGATTTATTCATGAGTACAGATATTACCAGTGCAACGTTATGAGGCTGCATGATTCCTTTTGCATCCTCGTCGTTGAAAGACAAAATTCCTTCTGGTATGTAATCTCGAGTTCATTTCTCCCTTGTGATGGATACTTTGGTGCGTTTTAACATTGGACCTTGAGGAACATCGACCCCTCCAATGATCATATGAATGACGTGTTGAGGTTCTTCTTGCTCATTTGTTTATTGGAGTCCCTATTTCTTAAATGATTCTT